ACGTGATAGGGACATGTTGCAAAAATCTTTATCTTCAACAGTGTCTTCTGAATCAGCTAGAGAAGATTGCGGCCTGGTTGTATAAAAGTGGCAGTTTGCCACCCCTACATACTGTGGGTCACAGATTTGAGACATGAGCTTGCAGTGGTCTGCATCAAAAGCTAATCCACAGACTGGTATAGAATGTTGTGTTAAAGATGAAGATTTGTCCTGATGAGGTGAAAATACCAAATACTCATTCTCTACATCAGCACTTTCATAAGCTGCTGTTTCAGGCATTTCAACATTTCCCTCTTCTACACTAACTGCTGTTTGAATCACCAACAGCTGCTCATTATCACTAACAGAGCCAAGAGAATCAGGAGATACTGTTCTTTTCTCAAAAAGCAATGGCATAGCCTCATACTCGGTATCTGACAGCATAGATTCTGATGATGATGATGAGTGGTAATTAATGGTAACAGGATGATTCACACATGATATATATTGTGGTATGGGAGAGTCTATGGACAAGTCTTCATTTAATGTCACAGACTCAGGGGAGTATGATCTAATATCTAACATTGCTGAGTCTGGAGACATTGGCCTGTATTCGGTTACCGACTCTGGAGAAAGCGGTCTTTCCTCAGTACCAGAAAGTGAAATGATAACCCAGTTGCCAACATATTCAGATACTAACTCCATTGGTGTTGCTGCTTTGTTCTCATTTTCAGGTACATTCTGTCCGAGTGACAGCATTTTTTCAAAATTATCCTCATCATCAAGATGACCAGTCTGATTTGTATTTTGGGTTTCATTCATGCTACTTGTGAATTTCACATCAAGACTGCCTGTATAAGGAGTGTGGTGCACATCACTCTGAACCACAAACTCTGAAATGTCTTTATCAGCCTTTGTTTGCCTGTCACCTGCATGAACCTCATTGTTCCTGACTTCTTGTTTTGTGTAATCAGGGGAGTAAGCTGTAGGTAACAAAGACACATCCTCACTATCTGAATCCACAATCTCAACATTGCCTCCATACAGGACCTTATAAAGTCGGCATGAAACTTCATCCATGTGTTTTGGGGCCATTTGTTTTGCTTGTGTGCATTCTGTCATCACATTGAGGGGATAAGATGGGAGTACAGTAGTAGGTTGAGTGGGAAGCATTTTTTCACCAGCATGTTGTTGTGTAAGGCGTAGTTCTTCATCAGTTTCTGTAAGTTCCATCAACAGTTTCTGAAAGTCTTGCTCCACTTGCTCACACTCGATCAAACTGTCTCCAAAATCAGTCATTGACAACGGTCGACTTTCGCATACACCTGTCTGAGAACTGTCAGATGTCTCTGCCCAAGGCAATGGTGACAAATGATGAGCTTTGTCTCCAGAGTGGGGTCTTTGCAGACACTCTAAGCTCCAATCCTCTCCTCCCTCTGCCCCCTCATCTTCAGCAGCCCCTTCATGGTCACATCGTTCAAAAGTGGGGAAGGTGGACGTTGGGGTAACTTGGGCACATAACTTGGGTGCCCCTTTGTACATAGGGTGTAGCACATGGGATCGGAGATTATAGGGAGAGGTGCAGTACAATGTGAAGAAAGGACTTACTTGTTTAAAACTGCCAGTGTGTACCAAGTCTGTCATTTCCTCATATGTTCTTTGTGATAAGCTGCAAAGAAAAGAAAATGTAGAAATGCAGTGCTGAGACAAATGACCAAAATAACCCAGCATCGGCTCATATTACTGTAAAAGAATATATTTCATAAGTTTAAGGAAATTAAACCGACAATATTTAATGCATAGTAGTAAAAACCGTATTAAGTTTGCAAATCTGTGTCAAAACAATCACTAAAAGGAAGTAATAAAGGAAGCATCTTAGCAAACTGCTTTTAACCTTAGCACTGTGTTCCTTGTTTCTCTCTGTTGATGTGCAGAACAATTGCAGAGCATGTGCACGGCTGTCAATAAACAACAAATAATGTGGATGGGGTGACATTAAACGAAGCATTCAGAGTAACTCACTGTGTTGTTTCCATCTCTTTTTGTGGCTTGTCTTTGTGAACAGTTCTAAGAAGGCCTGCTGCCGTGGAGTCTGTCACCGGTCGTCCTGTTGTCTCGTGAAGTGATGACAAACTGGATGAAAGGTCTTCTGCTGACACTATGGGAACCTGTTGTCCTGAGCGTGGACTCTTTTTTGCAGCCTCTGTACGTTTGCTAATCCTGGGGCTGTCCATGTCTTCATGAAGAGCAGCGAAACCTGATCGGGCACACAGGACAGGAAGGGAAAATTTAACCTCTCAACAGCCAACAGCTCACGGTCATATCACTTTGAACAGAAGTTAAATGAAGTTTACTAGATTCTAGTAAATGTCTAGTAACTAGAAGACATCACCTAATCTCGTGCATGAATCTTACAGCTTTCTGTTTTAGTATTGTATACTCAAAGTATTTGGTTAGCTTGTGCACCTTCACTATGGTCCTGTGCTATGGTCCACTCGATTTCTGCATACGTATGTGAGGTTTCTTCTTCAGACGTCCTGCTTTCAATAAGGTGAACAATATCCATTCGATTGATCTTTGTCAGTCTTTTGATAAGTGTTGCTTCTGTTGAAACAGAATAAAAGTTTCACTTCAAAGCTGACAACAAGATTTCTTTACTTATTAAGTAAAAAGCAATAATTCTGAGAAACATGTACCAACTACAGGAACTAAACACTGGCCTGTGGCAAGATTTCCCTCCCTCTCTGTCCAGACTTTCAGAAGAGCATGGCTTTGGTCTTGAAGTGAGTTGGGGTTTCCAGTTCTTATCTCATTGATCCTCTCCTCACTGAAGTCAAGCTCCTGTGCTAACTCTGTTGGCGAGAAGATGATACAGTAACAATCGTGAATATTTGAAGATACATTTGAATGTCTGGTGTATCTTGAGGGCCTGCCAACTATGCATTGAGCTTGAGCGCTTCATCGCCGTGATGAGGTGTCACTCACCCGTCCAGCTGAAGCCAAGGTGGTCAGCTATAATGGCCAACCGTTGCTCTTTTCTCTCTGCTTCATCCTGTGGATCTACTGCAAATACCACCAGACAGCCATGAGCGGTCAGAACCGCAATGTGTTCCAAATGATATGTTCACAAATATTAAAAAATAAAACACCTTCACTGGCTTTCTTTTTTGTGTTCTACTAACGATGTCTTTACATAGGATTAATTAAGGATCCAGACCTATACCCTAGAGCATGATGTGTCATTTCAATCAATTGTTGCCATTACACTTAATTGTTCTGGATATTATTCACATTTTAATCTTTAAAGTTGTTTTCACAATAAAGCCTTTAAGTCAATCTTGAGATTTTCAGCACACATACAAGGAAAGTGAGACATCATTACAAACAAAAACACAGCTCAAGCAACATGTTTTCCTTTTTACTTCAAGAAGACATAATCACAAGAGACAGAGAGGCAGCACCTTTAGCTATCGTACTAATGAGGCACAAGAGATAGAGAATAGCCCCTTAAACTGGGGGGATACCTTGACTTTGGACTTTATCGTCTGGGATTCGCTGCATCTGTGTCTCAACAGGTTCGTCCCACAGTGGTCTAATGGGAAAGATGTCTCCTGAGGGAGGGAAATGTTCTCTTTCTATGACTAAAGGATCAATGAGACTGCTCTCGTCATCTGAGATGGTGGCCGCAACCTCTTGCTCTCTGTCTGCCTCTGCCAACCTTGCCACCAGTTTTGCTGCTTCATCACTTATCTCTTCAAAGAACTCAACGGGCTCTTTATAGGGCTCCCTTTTTTCTTTAGTGGGTGTTGTTGAATGTGACGACTGACCGCTTTTGCCTCGAACTGGCAATCTGGACTGAAAACCCTTAGATTTTGCCGCCTCAGCACTCAAAGGACGACCCTGTTCTTTTTTAGATGACCTGGGAGACTCCCCCTCACAGAAACTCTTGGCTTTGGAAGATGGAGTCTTGGTTTTGACATCCACAGAGGGACCTGCATCTGTCTCAGATTTTCTCCTTATATCCTTTTTCACAGGGACCTTAAGTTTTTTGTCCTGGTTATTTTCAGCACGTTTAGAGTCAGGCTTCATCGTGCTAGCTTTAACTGGAATTCTAGATTTAGATTCAGAAGTAGAGATGGCCTCTTTTTTAGGAGTGCTGGAAGGGGAAACTGCATGAGATGGAGAATGAATTGTTGATTTACCACGGCCTTGAGAAGAAGTAGGCTTAGCTGGTGCTTTGACTGGAGTCTTTTTAACACTACTGGAAGCGCTTTGTTTGGATTTTCCTGTTGTTTTGGGGGCTTCTATTACTGACTGTGGTTCCTCTGGAGAAGAGTCAGAGGACTCTTCCCCCTGTTCAGAGTAAACTGATCTAGTGATAGTAGTATCTGCTGTCTGTACATTTGTTATCATTTGACCAAGGGAACTTGTGTCTAAATCTAAGGATCTTTCAGTTATCTCTGCTTTCATCTCTAGAAGTTCTGGGGATGTCTGATCTTTCTTTGTAGGTTTAGCTGAAGCTGAAATGCCCATTTTGGGGATTTTAGATTTGGAGGCATCAGCTTTGCAGCTTGGCTGTTCATTTTCAGGCGAGGACTGAAGCTGTGAATCAGCTGTTTCTTTGGATTGCTCACTGTTATCAGTCTTAACCTCTAGTGTTAAATTGAGACCAACTTCCGGTTCTGTAGCAGATCTTTGACTCTCTTGTCTGGGCTCTTCTAAGATAGGCTCCTCTAAAGGCTGTTCTCCTATCTGGAAAAAGGCAAAGCCAACAGCCTCTTCCTCGTAGCTCCTCTTTGTCATGTCAATAGCACCACTGCGGGTCATCTCAAAGAGCTTCCCTTCTTGGAATAGAAAAGGATTGGGCTCACTGGTGGGAGTGCTCTCTTCTGTTGGTGTCCTACCAGGTGTGGTGTCTGGAGACTGACGGTCAACAACCAGATTCAGTATCTTCTGTTCCTCCTCTTTTACGCGAGCTTCAAAAGTGGCATCATCCTCCCGCATTGCAGACCAAGACTCGGTATCTACCCTTGCAGTGACACCTTTGGACTCGGTCCTGGGAGGTTCCAGTGTCTCGTCGTCCTCCTCTGTGTCATCGTAGATGCAGACCTCTGGTTTAAACGTTTCCTGTGTCTTACTTGTAATAACAGTTTCACAGAGTCCGGCCTGATCTCCTTTAACTTCATCTGTGACATTACTACATCTTTTCAGCACACCTGTCTGTGGCTCACTAATCTCTAACTCTTGACCATGCGTATCATCTCCTCTACTTTCCCTTGACTTCCTTAAGCTTTCTTCCTTTTGCTCATCAGTCCTATTTTTAGTATTTGATGTTGATGCCTTTGTGTTGCTATTGTCTTTATTGGCTTTTCCAGATAATGGGCAACTTTCTTCTTTTTTCATTTGGGATTTTGAATGATGCTGGTCTGAGACAGAGTGAGGTCCCTCTGAGGTGACACTGGTTGATGATGTGCTCTTGGCCTCTTTGCTGTGGCATCCATCATTCAAACCTGCTGAAAAAGGAGAGGGAGGTTGTACTTTAATAAGGGGATCAACAAAAAGAGCTAATTTTGAATCCTCTGTGGGTGTACTGAACCCACATTCACTTTGCGATAGCTTCTCACTTTCACAGCTGTCATCCCCTATTTTGGCATCTGCTGGAGAAAAATCTTTTCTAGACTTCGTTTTGCTCTTCACGTCTTGTTCCATTTCATTAAATGTTTTTATTTTGGCTGCCATCTTAAACATCTCTTCCTCAGGAGTGATCTTTCTCCTAGCTTCGTGGCTGTCTGATGCATTATCTTCTTCTGGGTCTTCAGGGATGACAGCCGGTTTTGATAGAGCAAAGAGGAATGAATGATCAGGGGGTTTGGGGTTTACCTCATAACTTACCTCTTCAGAACTAGGGGTGTCAGGGGAGAGGGGGCTCTTACCAGAACTTGTCATCTGAGACGTCTGCTCACAACTGTCATCATCAGCACTAGCCTCATGGTCTCGAAGAAGCCTACTGGGCACAGTTTCCTCGGGGAATTCTGCATCTTTGGGAGGCTCTGGATGGCTATAGGATTTGCTAGGTGGACCTAGTGGGAAGAATGGGCAGCTTTTTAGCTCTACAGGACTGCTCTCTAAGGAGTCATGAGGAGGTGATTCCTTAGTTGGGCTGGGTTCAATAGAGTCTGGGGATTTGTGGGAGGAATTTTCTTCCATGAGAGGACTACCCTCTAACGAGTCTCTGTGGCTTATTGTTAAAGAGTCATCAGCTAACGGACTGAGAGCATCTGCGTCTTGTTTTAAAAGTAAGTCTAAGCTTTCATGATGCTGAGACGGGGATCTAGGAGCTGATGACCCAACTAAAGACAATACTAGCTGATGATCGGGGCTTTCGTCATCGCTAAGAAAAGTTTCTATAGTCTCTGAAATTCTTTTTATAAGCTTTTGTGGTTTTGACTCACTCCTCTTAACAGATATAGACTCACTTGTAGTGTGGTCATCTGTAGCCTTGCTGGAAGAGACAAGGAGGGTCAATTCTGTAGAGAGTTGGTCACCAGTGGTCCCTATACCAGAATCCCCACACTTCTCTGTGTCTTTACTCTCTTTCTTTACTGTTGCGGCAGCTGGTGCCAAAGTTGTAGAGGTTTGCTTTACAGTTTTGGGAGAAAGCCCTAGACTTTCAGGGCTTGTGCCCGGAGTGGCTAGACCCTCATGTTTGTAACTGTCCTCAGAGCTCAAATGAGAGGATCCATTTCCAGAACTTAGGGAGTCTGCCACACCCTCATGTTTAAAGCTGCCAGAGCTATCATCAAGGCCACCGTTTCCAAAGTCTACAGTGTCAGTTAGCTCTGAATCAGCAGAGGGTTTTGTGTCTTTGTCTTGCTGACTGATCAGTTTCTTTTGGGGTTTGGAATCCAATGACACTTCTCGCTCTTGAGGGACGTGTGAAGCTGCTGCTTTCGTCGTGGATTTTGTGTGGATAGTTTCAGATTTAGTGCTTTTTTCTGATTTGGATGAAGAGGATGTTTTGAGCTGAAATAGCCCCGACTTTCTCTTTGAGGGGTCTTGACCCGTTTGGAATGCTTGCATCAGCTCTTTAACTGACATGGTCTCTTCAAGTTTTTCAGAATCAGCTTTAGGGGATTTATGCGGGGCCTGCTTTGACTTAGCGGTTTCTTTGGCTTTTGGGGAGGATTTGCTCATAACAGGCAAATGCGTAGGTTTGCTTCCAGTGACCTTTTTGCTCTTTTGCTCTGCCTCCACTTTCTGTTGTAAGGCTTTGACTTTGTCCTTGATTGATCCGATGGGAGTTTCTTCAATCACTGGGGATACAGGGGATGCTGGGGCCTTGGCTGTGGGCACGCTTAGACGACTCCCTGTTTCTATCGATTCCTCTGTCTTCCCCTGGTCTTTTCCCTTCCGTCTCACTGGCTTTTTAACATCACCAGTGGCGGGTTTGTCATGTACTTTGGTTTGAGTGGTTGGTTTTGTACTTTTGCGTAGTACAACATCAGTGAATCTTTCCTGGAAACTTGTCTCTTTTTTGGCTTTAACTTTAGAGCTTATTGGTACATCCAGCAGGTATTCTTTAAGGTCACCACTGTCCTTGATGGCTTTAGGTCTGGGAGTCCCTCTGTTACCTCTACTTTCCCGTAAGACGAGCTCTTGATTTTCTAAAGCTGCCATCTTTTTGGCTTCTTCTATCTCACTATCTGAGAGGAGAACCCATTCCTCAGCCATTCTAGCTGCTTTCGCTGCCTCCTCTGCCACCTCACCCTCATACGTTCCACTCCTCAGTATTTCACTGACTTTCTCTAGGTCCTCTTTGACTTTCTCTAAGTCTTTTTCCATTGTTTCTAACGCTTCTCCAGAAACTTCCTCGGTCCCTTTCTCTAGACCACACCCTCCTAAGGAAGGGGATTTCTCAGCGGAGTCTGCAGTCAAGATGACAGTCATTTTGATCAAATCTTGTTTCATCTCTGACACGTCGGATAGAAGATCTGGTTCTCGAATCAGCTCTGATTTCAGGACTGACGTCTCCGTCTCTTCATCTTCCATACGGAAGAAGAACAAGTAAGGAGTAAAGAAAATTAAAAATTTAAATGAAAGGAGACAGACATTGGAGAATGTGGTCAGGACAAGATTGGAGCACACCGCAGGGATCATAGGACAACAAACTCACAATGGTTTCTATTGTACACCAGGGAATCAAAGGAATTAGGCTTGTAGTTTCATATGTCTGTGCTGTGGTAAAGCAAATGCTAAACACATACCAATGGGAAAGGATATGAGCAGGAAATAACTTGCTTTTACACTTGCATCCACACTCACAAGACAAAAATACAGATCAAAACTGGAACTGATAAAAAAAAAACTAGCATGTGACGGAGAAACCAACAAAACAATGAAAACCAAAACAAAACATATGAAACAGAAACAACATCAAAACATCTCAAGATTGCTCAGATGTATGGGAAATGTCACTAACTCTATGAAAGAAAGCCAGTGATAATGTAAATGGCGTATGAGGATTTGCCATGTTTAGCTCTATTGCAAAACTAATATATTTTATTTCAATTCAAGCAGGAATGAAGGAATTCTATTTCACTCCATTCTGCTTTTGACTAAATCAGCATTTGGAAGACAACCGTAATGAAAACTCACAAAAAAAGAAACAGAAGCAAAAAACAGTGACATACAGAGCAAACAAAATGAACTCTCACTAAGAAGAAGGTACGTATAATCACACAGACACACAGCACACACATTCATTTGTAAGTATGGCAAGTTATTTCCATGCAAAGTAAAGGGAAATGATGATGGAGAGGTCATAGAGAAGAGTGATGAGAAAGTTGGTACTTAGTTGCTTGTCTTCTTTCAGTAATGTGGTGAGTTCTGGGCCCGATCATTTAGCAATTCCAGTTTTTAAAATGTCAGTGACATTGATACTGTGTGAAAGTTGAAAATACACACGGTCCATAGAGTTTTACTCAATAACACGTCCTTTAGAAACGTAATGCTAACAAATATGGGTTGATTTGTTAAATGTATCTAATTAACATGTTTTGTGACTTTTTTCCTGAATGTTCACATTACCACGAGACAAGCCATGGTGGAGGGGAGAGGGGGAGGAGCCTGACTACACTAGTAGCCAACTTCAGGAACTTAGAGCATATGATACCAGCACAACATGGCACAAACTGCACCACAAAAACAATACTGGGAAGAAAAAGGAAGTTCAGAATTAGGAAGGTGGAGTCTGGATGTGCTTCACTCATGGCGAATCACATTTTGTCCTATCTCCTTTTAAAGGTGATTTGTTCTGTTACTGTATAATGGCTACAGTCATTTAACTCACATCCCACAAGCAGCTGTGAATCATGTTACTGTTGAGAGTCTCTTTTTGATCTAACCAATGCAGAACGAAGTGTGGAAATGCAGAATAAAAGCCCAAATTATGCACAACACAACACTAGCTGCACCTCTCCACCCACCTGGCCAATCAGGGCCAAGTGCAACCACATCAGCAACCACGATTATGACAGTGTTAGCGCTACGCTGGCTTTCAGGCTAGCACATAGATATATATATATATGTATATATAGGCCGTCACATAAACATCACCACAGTATGAATGAAGATCATATTTATGTACATACGTAAGTTGCATTGTTTAACTCTTTCTTCGTATCTCCAATCTCGCATTGTAAAAGAATGAAATTGGATTAAATTGAAACAATGAGGTGTAAATCATTACGAAACAAGAAAAGTAGAGAGAAACATAACTTTGAAAAGATGGACTTCAGGGTGAATGTGTATGAGTCTGGTTATTCCTCTGCATTCTCATTACTAGTGTTAGACTTATTCACACCATTTACACCAATATTATTTTGATTAATAAATATATGCATTTTTATCAAAGAGCAGCAACCACGTTAGTACAAGTTGCAGAGCAAAGTATGTAAGTAAAAGTACGTCTTACATTTCTCGAGCAGTCTGTTGGTCTGAAAAAGATCACATGGAAATACAACAGTTAGGATGTTTTGACCGCTGCACGTGCTAATTATTTTAACTGTCACTACACCTATCACTGAGGGAAAGAGCACAGATAAGCTAAGTCACTGCTGAATCACAGTCTAAACTACAGACAGAGGCAAAGACAGATTAGTGGAGCTAATGGGAAGACGAGGGAAATGAGAAGCGCTGGCTGCTTTTACCTCTTCCTCTTGTTCTTGGTCTGAATCAGACTCCTTTGGGGAACAAGAAGCAGCAAGAAGCAGAACGATGTACAAATAGAAACAAGAGCAGTATTAAGGTCAGACAAAGGGCAAACCAACGGTTACCATAGCAACAAAAACAAGAGGTCAGTGTGGATGTCAGTGAAAGTCAAAGTGGTCTTCAGAGATGGACTAGGTAAATATATTACATGTGTGCTACAGCTGTGCTCAGACGTTTACATCATGGGCATGGATGTTATGGTCATTTTGGGCTTTTTCACTGGGGGAATAATTCTGCAACATAAATCTTTAATTACTTTATTTTGGATTCTTTCTAATCCACACAGGCTCACAGTTATAGATGCATATTTGGTTAAATGTCCCTTAGCTTTGACCAAAAGCATCTGCCATAATTCTGTCTCTCCTTGGCCAAATTGAGTTCATTTAGCGGCTGTCTGGGATCTGGGGTTTGAACCTCACCAGCTTCTGTCATTGTGGCCAGATAACTCTTTGCCTTATTTGGCCAAAAAACATGTGCAGCTGCAAACTTCAGTCACGATTACAGGTGTCAGTTTTGGAGCAGGGGGTTCGTTCTTGGTGAGCGCCCTCCGAGTCCACGGCGAGCCCTCCCGTCACTGTGGACAGGGACACTGGAACGCCTGAGCTTTGGTGCTAGATTGTCCCTGATCATTAGATTTCCTGTCATAGTGTCACAGTTTGGGTCTTCTAGCAGATCTGGACAAAGTGGTGAAATAACTTGTGCTTACATACAGTTGTTTGAACTGATGATTATGGGAACTGTAGCTGTTAGAAATGGTGGCAGAGACCGCCCACGTGCTAATGCAAAACTCTCCCTGGACTTCCTCATTGCTCTGAGGATCGGTCTGCCCAGTGAGAGCTGCCAAATAAACCCCTTTCATGCTGGAAAAAGAAACTACCAGTTGTGGAGAATTATAACTACCAGAGTTATTATTAGGAGACGCGGAGACTCGTCTCCTAATAATAACTATTAGGAGACGCGGACTGAGAACGGCTCTTCCTGGGATCTTCCTTTCTAATGTACGCTCACTCGGGAATAAGATAGACGAACTGGCCCTGATGAGAAGCATGAACAGAGACTTTGCCTCCTCCTGTGTCTTATGTTTTACGGAGTCGTGGCTC